GTTTGTACACAAAAAGCCCTTTGTATATAGATTTTTTGACAATCCGTCGGTCTATCGAACCCGAACAGAATGACGCAAACCTTGCTTCGTAATTGAATCCCTTGCACTGTCCCGAGTTTCTACGCATTTGTGTAGATAAATACATGCCATATTTCCCTTTATGGTCCGGTGTGTTTGTAAAAAAACAGAAAAATACGTATTGTCCAATTCTATAGTTGATGGATGGTTTAATGTGGTAAAGAATTACATATTAGAGAAACAAAGAAATACAGTAGATTTATTGAACAATTGACCCAATATTTACTGTATAAAGAAAAAGAATTAAATTTCAATTTGTTAAATAAGAGTGCGAGAATTCAAAAAGACATACTAGCGCACCAAACAGAAGAATCGTGGAACAGAACTCCCAAACGCAAAGCAACTTATCTAGGCGGACGCACATGTGTGAATCGCTTAAGTAAAATTATTACCACCAAACCGCTTCCTATGGATTTTAACGAAAATGGCGTTTTTAAATACAATTCTTTGTTTCAACATTTTGATGTTGCTGTTCCCAGCTCGACATTCATGCGCACATTGCCAAGTATAACTTGCCTGATCAGTTTTACTACAGGGACTTGGACTTTTACAACTATTTCACTTTGAAAGAAACGCAATGGATAGCGTCTTTTATTATTGACCTTTTTGCCCAGTTAATCATAAAAGATAAATCAAGTTTTTACGCTATAAATCACACACAGGTCCCTGAATTGAACAAATTCGGCTAGTAGAGAACGGACGTATTGTTTTTATCCCTATGCTGATGGACGCCGGTCATTGGTTTTTATTAGTTGTCAATGGGAAGAGCAAACATTTCCACATTTTAAATAGTTTACATTCTTTTAGAGAAATTACTGCGAATCATTATTTCAATGTGTTTAAGGGAATGCTGGTTTCGTTAGGGATAGATACCAGTTCTTGGGAATTAATTAATGTAAAGCACCCTAAACAAACGGACGGCCACAATTGCGGCGCATTCCTGATGCTTTACATTGAAAATATTGTTTTAACCTTCGTAATACCATGGTAAAAAACTTTCATTAGATACCAAGCGGGGTACAAATATACCCCACCCCTTTTTTGTATCAGGAGCTCTAAACATTTATTGTTTAAATAAAGGGCAGACAAAAAAGTACATGTTTGATTAATTTTTAACTATAAATTTATTTATTGCATGAATTACAAATTGTTGTAATGTTAGAATGTTCGGCACATACGAATTTTGAACACTGGACGCAATGTTTTCTAGACTTTTTATCAGCATTCCTCGGACATATGTGACATCGGCCACTTTTTTTCTGATTTGGAACCTGCTCTCTATTTTCCTTATCTGTTTTCAGTTCAGGTAAAACGGTTACCATATTTTGCTTAATTTTTTCGTGCAATGAACGATCCTTATTATAGCGGCAAATAATATTATTTCTTACTAATTGATGACCTAGTTCCAATAAAAACATTCTTCTTTTATCTAAACGACCTTTTTTCCACTCTGGGTTAGCATGAATCCACAGTTTGTAAGCATTGATAGCTGCAATATCCAGCAAATGGAAGAAAATTGCCATAGGCCACCGGTTGGTCTTCCTTTGGGTGGTGTATTCTTTAGCAAGTTTGTCAGTCGTGTCTACAGCTCCTTTGGTTTTATTATAATGTAGTATTATATCAGGCTTATAATCATTATCAGCACCACTTATTTTGTCGTCTCGATGTTCAGTTGACAAAAGAACGACAGCGGAGTTTCTCTTTGGAACGTACGAGACCAGTGTTTTGTCTTTCATGAAGGCAAACATACTTGAAAAATCTTTTTTGTACCTGGCGGGAAGTAACTCGCTAGGTATATATGGCTTATTTCGCCGTAAAGTTCCACATAGTGTTAGGTTCCTCTGTAACAATTTATCTGCCAGTTCAATACTGGTAAAGAAATTGTCAGTAGTAATTCCATATCCCTGTCCTAAATGGCTTACCATATCCAAGACCACCCTCTGACCTTGACCCTTTTCTGGTTTGTTACCAATTTTTCCTAAAAAAAAACAAAATGTAAAAACACCAACAGATTTTTATAAGAAAAGTGTTACCTAGGTAAACCTGCATATTTACTGTGTAGGCAGTTTCACAGTCCGCAAGAGCCCAAATTTTGATCCCATATTTGTCGGGTTTACTCTTCATGTAAACCCTGAATGGAGCCTTTCCTCGGAATGGAACTAGCTGTTCGTCAACACATAAATGACCGTTCGGATTGAAAGATTTTTTACAATTCGATACAAATATATCGAATATATCCCGTATTGGTGCCAATTTGTCAACAGTTTTTCGTTCTTCGCGAGTTTCAAAATTATCAAATCTCAAAAAACTCATTATTTGCTGAAATCTGTTGCGAGACAACGAAGCTGATACTATTGGACGACACAAAACTGGGTCTTGACTCCATAAAACATAAACTGGTTCCTTGTTACCATGAACAGCTCCAAAATTTATAAGAAGACCAAGAAAAGCGTCCATCTCTTCTTTTACTATTGGAACAAACGCTTTGTTTTTTTTGGAATACACAAATTCGGCTTTTCTGTTAGTTTCTCTCAAGATTATATTTATTACATCTTCAGAGAAGAATAGATCAAACGCCTCCTTTATAGATGTAAATTTCGAACTGTATTGTGTTAGACCCGATGGCAATTTTTGTATGTTATGTTTTGCCCTTTTTACTCTCGTAACGTACGGTATTTTAGCCCATTCGGAACCGTCCTTCGCTATATAACGTAAATTCTCGCCGCCCTCAGAAACAGATTCGCTTACCAGATCCACTTCATTATCACCAATGAGCAAGAGGTCATCGACTTCATCATTTTCATCCACAACATCAGTCTCTTCTATATCACTTGCAGCACCTTCCAAGGCTAAATCGTTTTCAAAGTAGTAATCAAATTCCTCTGTCTCTAATATTCGAAGCAACTCGTCATCGGTAAGTTTGTTTTCATTACGAAATTTAGGTTTTTCACTCATTTTCAGGAATATCAAATCTCACACTATTATAAATCTGACACTATTATAAAATAAAACGGTTATTTCTCTTACAATAGACGCACAAACACGCAGTGAACTGACTGCACATCGTTTCAGTAATTCGACGTACTTAGGGCGGTATTTCACGCCGGCGCAATAAAACACATGCTTTAAGTACCAAGCGGGGTATATTTGTACCCCAGCAACAAAAATTCATTATAATTACGGACTCATAGAAGGAAACTACGCGCACTTTTTTAGGTACATATATATTATCATAGATAATAGATAGGAGGCCGGAGAAATAGCAGAAAAAATTATTTGCAGACTTATAGCTCATAAGGTGCGCGTGGGGTACATTTGTACCCCGCTCGGTATTATGAAGGTTAAATGAGGGCTCGTATGTTTATGACAGTGCATTTAATGCAAATCAATATCGCATTTACCTACAGAACTTTTTGCTGCAAAAATCAGTCGCCAGGAAAAATTATTGCATACATTGTTCACGTAGGAAATCCCACCCGAATACAATTGTTTGGTTTCAATGTACAGGCGGCCTCACATACATGGCAAACTAGACGAACGTTGGTGATGCGTCGAGTTTGCCATATAATGTGGGGCCGCCTTAAAGGAAAAAAACACATAATAAACACTTTGACATACGTTGCTGTGATACAAAATGCACACTGCACAGGAAGCGAATATTCTTGGAATCAGTGCGACAAGTGTAACCGTTTGGTACATTTCAATTGTTTGAAGAACCCCGAGTCAAATCCAGACGAATACAAGAAGCGAACCATTAAGTGCAAATTATATCATTATGCACTTTTCGTTCAGATCTGTACAGGCCATAATAAAGCAATCGAAAACGTACCTCCAAATACAATTGCACTGTTTTCTTCTTTGTCATCTGCATTGTCCATCATGGGGTCATATGGGTATACCATGTTATCAACAAGCCATATATTTTCAAATCCTGACATACAAACATGACTTCTGCAATCGCTAGTTGTATAGCCAATATGTTCACCACACGTCCCTGAAGTGAGCAGGACATGTATGAGCTCAAAAATTGTTCAGAGTTTTATTATTTTTTGAGCTTTTCAACGGTAGCGTTTGCAATTTTTGAATTCCAATAGTTCGTTCACAAATCAATTTTGAAAAAATGCTCTGCTAACTTCACGTCAACTTGACAAGTACGAGCTCAAAAATTATAATTCGATCATTATTTATGAGCTTTTTTTGAGCTTTTCAACGGTACCTATTTCAATTTTTGAGCTCTCATGGATATTTCACAAATCAAACTTATAAATGACGTCCCAACTTCACGTCAACTTGACAAGTACGAGCTCAAAAATTATAATTCGATCATTATTTATGAGCTTTTTTTGAGCTTTTCAACGGTACCTATTTCAATTTTTGAGCTCTCATGGATATTTCACAAATCAAACTTATAAATGACGGCCCAACTTCACGTCAACTTGACAAGTACGAGCTCAAAAATTAAAATTCGATAAAAATTTATGAGCTTTAATGCTACCAATCCCAATTTTTAATTCTTGTAGTTATTTCAGAAATCCATTTTAAATGTCTCTTGCTGAAGAGCAAACACCACAAGTAAATTATCAATGTGCCATAAACAAATCTTGTAGGATATGAATATTATAGTATTAACCGCATTTACTTTTAAAAAAGGAGCATTTAGTAAAAAAAATTCCACGCGTAATGGAGACATAGGTATTTAACCAGGAAAATCAATTGTTCACTGAGCGTTCTTTCTTGATCTATAAGGAACCCGGTATACTATGTTTCTAAACGGTTCGTGGCTTAAAAAAATGCATACGAACGCGACACACAACACACACTATAAAGGATGTGAGGATCAATAAAAAACAATAAATGCCTTAACGCTTTATTTGTAATCAATATCAATATTTAAATAAGCAGGTGTCTTACAATGAATTATATCACACCATGGGGTGATATAGCAGTATATAATGTCCGTTATCGTTTGATATGATGGGAGTTTTGTAGTTAATTACCCCGCGTAATCTGTAAGGATGTTGATGGAAGGTGATGACATATGGTATGTCGGACAGCGGACATCTAATAAGGTCCTCCTGTCCAACATCTATAAACTGTTGGTCGGCGCTTCGATTTTCATTGTTTGATAAAACCTCCATAAATAGCAAAGGGGATGGATTGCAGACCCTCTCTATCAGTCCAGAATAATAATGATTCTCTACAATCAAAAAAGAGAAAATTCCTGAAATAATAGTGTTTTTATGTGATGAATTTTTCTGGTTCCGTTGTGATTTTTTGAAGTATTTGAAGTATTAAAAAGAACCACGAATGTTTTTATTGTTTTTCTATAAAGCGATCGATTTCGGGTTATGAGTTACCCATCATCAGGCTATGCTAAAATTACAGGAATATTAAATGATGTTGATCAGGAAAATTGAACCCCATGAATATAACACGTTTGTTCACATATCACTGGGAAACCTACACCATGATAGTTGATACCGAGATGGAAATCACCCAGATGACCTTGGCACTTTTTAAAAAGATAAGCAAAATCTACCGTTATGTCCTGTAATTCGATTTTACAATTATCCACGGTAATTGAACCATTACAAAAATGATATGTTAAATACTTACCGCCATTATTATCAAATCAAATAATATCACTCTGTAGCTAACTAACTACCGTACCGAACATCCGACTTCGTGGCACTTCGTTAATTTGTAGTAGTTGACTTGAAATTGGTAGGTCATTTATAAATTTGATTTGTAAAAAAACCGTGAGAGCTCAAAAATTGAAATAGGTACTGTTTAAAAGCTCAAAAAAACCTGATAAATAATGACCGAATTATAATTTTTGAGCTCGTACTTGTCAAGTTGACGTGAAGTTAGCAGAGCATTTTTTCAAAATTGATTTGTGAACGAACTATTGGAACTCAAAAATTGCAAACGGTACCGTTGAAAAGCTCAAAATAATAAAACACTGAACAATTTTTGAGCTCATACATGCCCTGCTCACTTCAGGGACGTCAGAAAGTCACCCCATTTCGTAATTATTTTCCGAGAATTCCTTTGGCACAGTATTTTACTTAAGTTTTTATTATAAATTTTTTCTCTATGTTTCCCTACAAGTTCTTTGTAGTTCATCAAAATACCCAGAGTTTAGCTCCAATTTTCCAAAACTTACCTACTTGTACGGATTTAAGCGTCCCCAATTTTACTCGTCTACGAAGCTGAGTATCAATATATTTCCCTAAAATGTGTCTTATTTTTCTCATTTCTCAGTTGCCTCAAAATACTATTCTATTTCGTCAAAATAATCCTCGAGAACCTAATTGTCTCGTATTGTCGTAAGGTCGTAGCTAGGACTCTCCTTAATCAAATTTCCGCAGAATTTCCTCTAAATTAACCAAAACTCCTTGAACAATTTTTACACTTCCTTTAAAAATGGGCTTAATTCTCCGGATTTGAATGAAATAAACACAGGGTGTAGCATCTACACCCCATATTTTTTCAAATTTCAAATGGTATCCCCTTACACAAATTATAGCTTATGATCCTATGAATCTTAGGTGCCACAACCTGTATAATTTTGTAAAAATTTTCCATTTGTCAAAAATTTTTTATTTTAGAATGTCGTCTTTTGTTCAAATTTCCTTAAAATCCGCGAGAATTTTTTCTTCTTCAAAACCCTCTTATACCTTCCACAGGATTTCCTCGAAATTTCCAAAAGCTTCTTGTCTTCTTCCTTAAAAATCGCCTTTTATTTTTCTAAAATTTCTTCCTTATTTCCCATAAATTCATTCTTCCATTTCTTTCAAAAGTCCTCTACTCTTCCCATATTTGTTGTATTACATTAAATTGACCTATCTTTTCCGAAATTTCACTACAATTTTCCTACATTTTCTGAGCTTTCTTATTCAGCCAAAATTTCCCCCACATGTTCCCAAATTTTGTCCAAAAATTTACTGTTTCTAAGTAACATATCTTTCATATTGGAACCTTTAAATTATAGCATCTATTAAATTGACACAGATTGAAGAATAGATAAAGTGATCTCTTTAACAGCCAGGGTAGATAAAAAGGAACAAATGATTGAACATTCTAATGATATCTGCCATTTTTATTAAAAAAGTTTTGTATTATAATAATAATAATAACGTATATTGTGTAAATAAAACATTCAAAGTTTTTAACACTTGTCAACCGAAAACAATTACACAGGTTACAATATTACTATACAGGGTGGTGACTTGCGTAACGCATCATAGGGATTTCAATGTAAAATTCATAACATGCGATAATTCGCTTCCCAAATTATTTTAGAGCAAAAATATATTTATGGTTTTTGTAGAAAAAAATTTTTTGTCACCGAAGTCAGAAAAATCATTTGTTAAAAACTCCTTGATGCTGTAAAAAGCTTTTGCAGTCAAGTACTGTTTAAGGCTTACTTTAAATTGGAATAAGTTAAGTTGTTTAATTTGAGAAGGTAGGACGTTGTATAAATGTATGCAATAATAGTTAAACGAAAATGTAGTCCTGTCCAGCCTCACAAAAGGTAGACTTACGTTATCCCTATTACGGTCTGATAGTTGTGGCACGTAGAGTGTATCTCAAAATTTTCAATGTTTGCTTTTATGTACAGAAGGCACTCCAGCAAGGATATGTTAATATACGGAGCGATGCAAAAGTGTCTTTGCATTGCTCTCTATATTTAAGGTTATTAATGATCCTAATGGCTCTCCTTTGTAGCCCGAAAATACGATTGGCTATACTGGAATGTCCCCATACCAATAATCCATAAGAAATATGAGGCTGAATTAACGAGAAGTATATTGTTTTAAGAATTCTTGCAGATAGACTACCCGAGGCCGCACGTAACAGATAAATACCAGAATTATTTTTTTTAGAAATTTCATCCCCATGATTATGCCATGCTAGTTTATAGTCAAGATGTACGCCCAGAAACTTAACTTTCGGTGACGTGACGGATACGTCAAACTTGCACAGTGAAAATGTAACATTTAAAGACTTATTCTTATTTAGACATAATTGATTTGCATTGAACCATTCTGTGGCCTTCGTTTGCACCTCCCTGCTAAGAGAAGTTGCATTTTCAAAAGATCTACAGCTAACTGACAGAGACGTGTCGTCAGCGAACAAATTGTTTTTCGGAAAATAAGTTGATACCTTAAAAAAATTTGTTATTTGGTCGGCTAGTCATTTTTCAAAAATTTTGGCGAATATGGATATAATTGAAATTGGACGATAATTGTTCTTATCAGTTTGGTTCCCCTTTTTCAGGATCGGAACAACTGACGCAATTTTTAGCACCTTAGGAAAAGTATTAGTTCGTATGCACGCATTAATAATTTTCGTAAGGGCTACAGTGATGTAGTGAATAATTGTTTTTATGACTACGGCACTTAGTCCAAAGCAGTCCTTGCTCTTATTGTTTCTCATTTTTGAAATTGTTTCTCTCACATCACTGAAAGAAACTTCGTTAAACCGGAAACGTGGTTTCGCTACCTTGACATAACGCATGAATTTTAAAGGGTCTCGATTTGAGTTTGGTATCAAGTTAATAATGTCACTGGCAATATTACTGAAAAAGTTGTTCATTGTGTTAGGATCAATTTCGCATTTATATTTTGGTGAAATATTTCTTTTATTGTTAATGAGATTCCACGTGGCTTTAGATTTATTGTCTGCGGAGGACACGTATAAGTCATTTGCTGTAATTTTACTTGCCCGAAGTTTAAATTTATAAATTTTTTTGTTTTCAAGTACTTACCAGCTGCTTAGCTGCAGGAGTAGGGTTGGTTTTGTATGCCTCGGAGACAAGTTGAACCGTGTTACGTATATGTTTTAATTCCGCAGTAAACCACGTCACGTTTCTGGTAGAGGGTACCCCATCGGTAAAAATTCTTTCAGGAAAAGCATTTTCAAAATAATAGATAATTTTTTTGACAAACATTTCAAATTTTGAGGTGGGATCAAGCTATACAACGATAAAGAGAAACTTACCATCCCTTTATAGGCTTGAATAGGTAATAATAAATAACTATAGTTTTAATGATTTTTTTGGTTTTATTTCAAAATAAAAAAGTATAGTTGCTGATGTTAGTGATAAACTTTGAAATGAATTTGCAGCGCGCGTCTAATAATTTTGGCAAGTGAGAGACGTCACAAAGAAATAAGAGAGAAAGTCTTTAGTTACATGCATTTTACTTCCACTTAAAACAAAAGCACTGGAATCCGGATAAAAACTTAAGCCACTTAACTTTCGAAGCACACAAAATCATTAAATGTTAACGTAATTAAAGCTAGTTAAAGTTTTGATTGACGACACGTTACAATCAACGCCAACAACTTTGATCAAATCCTGAAACTTATTTTCGATCACGTTGGTAGATGTTGCAAATATGGCTGTTCTTAAATTAATAATAATAATAATAATAATAATAATGGCATTAATGTTTAACCGTTCAAACAAATTTTATCGAACAATACACAGTTAGAGACGTCCCTGTATATACGGTGTCACAAAGTAGCATCTAAGACCCCGAAGATTATAATTCCTTAACCACAAAGGCATTAATTCGAAGTGCAACAAAATTCAAGATGGCGGCTCAAAATACTAATGGGGGTTGCAAATTTGTCCAAAATGTTGTTCGTGTATTCCCCTAAAAAGACGTGTTGCGCTCCACCTTATAGGTCCTACTTTAATTAAGTGAAAACATTAAACAAATACGAATATCGGCGCTAGATTGAAAGACATATCATAAGCAACATTAAATTAGAAACTGCCAGAATATACCGTCAACGTTTTGATCACCAAAGTTTGACACTAACTTTCGAGATTAAGGCAAATGAACAGAAACTTCAGGTTAGTTCGCCGCTCCTGAATTTATAATAAGGCCAGGATTGCGTGACCGATCCACGTTCGGATATCAGTTGTACAACTTTAAAAGACAATACCAATACTTTCAAATCTGGTGATCGTCAATACGCATAAATAATTTCCATTGGCTACTTACGGGCGTACTAAACGAATTGCCGGAATTTAATCTGTCAATAGTAATGAATTCATTTCCCCGTTCAGATCTATGCCCGAATTTATATCACGTATTTAATATTGTTAAAGTTCTCTTTGAAAGCGGAAGCCCAGGGGAAAACAGACTATAAAATAATTCAACATTTGTAATCAATACATGGGAAAAATGTAACGGCTAAATGAAAAAGGGGGAAACGATTTCGGTATAAATTGTAGAAAATTAAAAACGTGTGCGAGTTCGATTGACACGAGTCGAATTAATCCCGACGATTGATCATTGCGACAAAGAAAATACTGTGGGGGAGTACAAATCGGTTGTTGGGGGATTAAATTAGTAATATCGAGGAGTTGCGATCGTTGTTATGTGGGAAAGTTAGAAAGAAATTTTAAAATGTGACTTATGAGAAGGGAGAGGCTGATTTTTCATTAGCCTTTAATATAAAGTTGGGGTTACTGTTTTGGAATGAAATTGCGTGAGGGATATGAGGAATGGTGGGCGTTCGTCACTTATCCACACTGTTCAAATTTCCCCAGGTTAATAAGAATGAAAGGGAAAAAGGTAAGGTAGTAACGTAATTTCAAAAAAAAAGTGCGAAAGCGCGTAGTCTTCCCCTATACTAACGATTTCCATTCTTAAATAAAACTTTTCAATTTTATTTCCCTCGTCGCTTGTTTTCGCATTTAATTTTATGCAAATAAGAAGTAGATGTATTCATCAATTTGCAAAGTGAACGAAATTAGTGAGTAATTACTAACATTCTTTTTATTTCTTGTTCCAGCATACATTTAATGAGAAGTACGGGGTTGTTAAGAAGATTAGAAGATAAATGGATGAAGCTCGACACGCGCAAAAATGAGCAAAACCAGTTATCCTACGTTACGATTGATCACATAAAGGGATTATTGTACTTTTATCTAATAATGATTGCGAACAGTTTAATTATTTTGGGAATTGAAATACTCGTGCGGCGAAATTTTACAAAACGCGATTGCCTGCTGAAAACGCAGTAAATGTAAATAGAAAAAAAGCACTTACCAGAAAAGAGCTCCAGAAATTTTTCAACTCCGTAATTACTTGGATATCTGTACAAAGGATCTTTCAGCGCTTCAGTTGTGTGTACCTTTATGCGTTTAATCATAAAAGTTATGTTATCTAATTTTCCATCTTGATTAAAATCTGCGAAAAAAAGCGAGCAATTATTTCATACAGTCCTGTCCGGAGAATGAGATTACGGAATGTAAATTAACAGCAATGATAAGCGCAAAAACTCGCATAATAAACCAAAGTAAATTCATAAAATTAAGTAATTTAATTAAATATTTTTTCCCGAAATCGTCATTTTCATGCCTATTTTATGTCAGGGAATTTTAGTTTCCATGACAGTGGCAACAACATTTTTCCTGCCTCCTGTTACATACCAGACGCCTGTCAATGCAGACACATTAACAGTAATAATGAATGATTGGAAATATTTTCAATAACGATTTTGCGAAAAATGTAACAGTAAAATGACACTACTTGACTCGTACGTAAATAACTGATATTGTACAGCAAAGTAACAAAAATGAGTACCTGTCGTACGATAGATAGCATTGACTCGCTGTACGTGCCTCGTCATAACCTCTATACAAGCCTCCTCCGTTCCATACTTTTGAAAAAACTGATGATCGGCCTGCAAGTACAGCATACAAGTTGTCTTCTTCGGATCGATAGTGGCCCTTTTGTTAACGTGCCGAAAATTAAAGTCAAACGAAGTCCTGTTACTTGTAGTCATCTCCTCGTCGATCGGCTGATTAAACGGCGAATGTATGTCGATGGACGTACTTATGGGATTTTTCGATTTGCTCGGATGCCAAAAGCTGAATTCGTCGTAAGGATCCTTGCTGTTGCCTTCCAATAGCCAACGTTTACGTCTACTTAATTTATCTAACTTATTTTGATTATTATTTACATATAAGATATGCGAGGCACATGGCATTTCTAAATTAGGATTTTTTACATCCGACGTTTTATACATAATTGAATGAAAGGACGGGCTTTTATGGCTTTGGTTGTGTGGCAAGTATCTATTTATTGGTTCTATGTAGTATTCTTCCGATGCCGTCGATACCATTCCGTCGAATAGTCCATCCTTTGTTACAATACCATGTACTGAAGCATTTTCGTCATCTGAAATCAAAAGAGCAAATTTAAAAAGTCTTTCTAACTAATGTAAGGCAGATGGGGAACTTCACCCTTATCTTACAGTTTGTAACAGCTTTATTTTCCCAAGTACATATAAATTATTATAGTAGTTGACTATATGTGCCATTTTTTTATTGCAGGTGTTTTAGTTTGACGAGCATCGATTTGTGCATTATTTTTAATGAGACTTCAATTAAAAATTCATCCATTTTTGAAAAATTCAATCTTTCTGGCGATTAACCGCATTTGGTGTTATCTAGAATCGGTTTGAATCGAGATACCCTTTTCTCTCATGTTGGAGGCTATAATTTGAATTTAAAGTGGATGCATACGTAAGGACGGCCATCTTCTTTAACTACCTTGTTATCACATGGGTTTTTTTCTAGAATCTCGAATCGATTTCAACCGCTGCCGTATTAGTATTCTTATTTTCCAAACAAACCGCTTATTAATTGGAGTGTTCAAAGGGATTTGACATGTGGTTTATTTATAGGGTTTTTGTTAGTGGTTTCGGGGTCTAGTTTCAATTCTGCCTACTTGTCCAATTGCACTTTGACCTGTCCGGGGTAAATCAATTTCGGGAATGCAGTCTTTAGTAACTTTTCTGGTGACGTTTTGCCTTAGGATCGGCATTACTGCCTTTTATAGTAACTTTTCTGATTACTATTTGCGTTAGGATCGGCATCACTACTTTCTTAGTAACTTTTCTGGTGACCGTTTGCGTTAGGATCGGAATTTCTTCCTTTTTAGTAACTTTTTTGGTGACTTTTTAAGTTAGGATCGGCATTTTTACCTTTTTAGTAACTTTTCTGTTGACTTTACTACTTTCTTAGTAACTATTCTAGTGACGTTTTGCGTTAAAGGTCCCATTCACATGCGGATATGTACGGCGGACATGTACGCGGGACAGATCCGTATCAATTCGTATGTGTGTATCCGCTTGTTCGGCGTACATATCTTGCTCGCCATCCGTCGATCACGGACAGCGAGCCCGACAAATCCGCACGTGTGTAGTCGTTTCACGGATTTGTTTGCCGGACATAGAATCACAAAATAGAAACTTCTTGAAAATATGTTTGGAAATTTAAGAAATCAAAATGGAAATGCGACTAATCCTACTCCAATTAAACAGTAATTTAAAAAAATATGTTGTTTTTACTTTTGAATATAATGTAGGCGCAAATTGTGCTACAGATTTGAATTATCTTTTGGGTAACTTTACAAGCAAAATTGCGGAATAACACCTAACCAAAGAAAGACCAATGTCCACTAATGGTGAAACTGTTAGTCAAATACAATCCGATCAGTTACCTTTTGGTGATATTTTAAAAGTGAAATTTGAAGACTACGGTGATATTAACATTCCAGAACAAAATGCGCATTTTTGGGGAACAGTTTAAATACTGGTAAAGATGATAGTGCTTACTCCACCAACCAAGCACACCTAACTACTGATGAAATAATTTTATGCCATTTCCGAGCATATTCTGCCAAGGCTTATTTGAAAGTTTGAGGTATAATTTTCCCGATAAGCTGTGGGGAGATTGCACAACTGAATTGTAGGTCCTCAAAATTCCTTCAAGTTGCTAAGTACTGCATCGTGGCAATTAATCGCTCTCTACTGGTAACTGCCTCATATGGGTATCATTCCATCATTCCTCTCAATAACTGGGCGAACATATTTTAATTAAGTTTCAAATGTCTCATTGTCCATGCGCAAAAAATTGTGCAAATCATGAGGCGTTTCCAAATCTCTAAGTAAAGTCATATGAGAGTACTTTTTTGATTCAAGAACCACTGTTTTGACCACATCTCTTCTGTTTCCTATCTTCACATAAAACTATATATCCTGCAATTATTGTCAGTTTCTTCTTATGATCCATAGCAATTACTACAGCACTCAAAACCACACAACCCAGGGGCTAGCACTACAGAACTGAAATAGTGAGGGAACGCCGCCTGCTCGTCTATTGAGATTTGTCCGTGATCTGTGTACAGCCCTCGTATCCGCCTGTGTGTAGCTCAAGGCGGATCTGTCCGCCGTATAGATCCGCCGTACATATCCGGATGTGAATGGGGCCGTTTAGGATCGGCATTTTTACCTTTTTAGCAAGTTTTCTGGTGACTTTACGTTAGAATCGGCATTACTACCTTTTTAGTAACTTTTCTGGTGATTTTACTACTTTCTTCGTAACTTTTCTAGTGACGTTTTGCGTTAGGATCGGCATTTTTACCTTTTTAGTAAGTTTTCTGGTGACTTTTTACGTTAAGATCGGCATTACTACTTTCTTAGTAACTTTTCTGGTGACTTTTTACGTTAGGATCGGCATTACTACTTTCTTAGTAACCTTTCTGGTGACGTTTTGCGTTAGGATCTGCATTTCTACCTTTTTAGTAACTTTTCTGGTGACTTTACGTTAGAATCGGCATTGCGTCCGGATCGGCATTACTACCTTCTTAGTAACGGTTCTGGTGACGTTTTGCGTTAGGATCGTCATTTTTACCTTTTTAGTAAGTTTTCTGGTGATTTGACGTTAGAATCGGCATTATTTAATATAGTTCCTCCGAAGATTAGATCGCTACCCCTCTCAGATTTTAGAATTACACTAAAAAAATTGTTTATTCAACACCCTTTTTAGCGCATTTCCACAAAAATAAAAAAAAGTGCGCTATTGTGGCCACTTTGTCCGTCCGTCCGTCCGTCCGTCCGCTAACTTTGCGACGCTACTAGTTTTTTATCTTAAGAGCTATTGTTCTACTTTTTTCGCTATTTGGTTCGTTATGGTGTCGAGTCTTGTACCAAGGAAGGAATTTTTTTTGTACCGCTTACAAAAAAAGTTATTATAAAAAAAACAAAAAAACCGTTTTTTACATGTTCCATAATTTTACACTTTTGCCGTTTATTAACGATCCTAGAGATCGTTTATAATTTTGCATTGCTATCTGTCGCCTGCCGGTTGGTCTCTCCGTCTGTTCCTTTGCCTGTCTGTCCATCTATTTGTCCGTATGAATGTGAACGATAACTTTGTTTAGAAATGTTCGATCGCTTTTACATCTCCGTTAGTTATGAACTGAATTGCATGAAATTCAATATGGGCATAGCTTTAACCATATAATACGCAATGCCAAAAGTTGAATCGAATCGATTCAAAATGCACAGTGCCCTTTTCGCATCTCGACCATTTATAAACCGAATTGCAAACTTTTTTACTTATAAAAGTATTTGAATGAAATTTGATTCATAGGCACTTGGAATAAAGGAAAATCAAACGCCAATTTCAAAATTTGGTTTTGCGCATGCGCAGTGCCAACTTTTTTATTTATGGAAGAATTTAAACGAAATGTGATACATAGGCACTTGGAAAAAAGGAAAATCTAGCCGCTAGTTTCAAAATTTTATTTTGCGAATGCGCTGTGCCAACTTTTTTATCTATGGAACTATTTAAGTGAAATTTGATACTTAGGCGCTTGGAACAAAGGAAAATCTAACATTAGTTTTAAAATTTAGGTTTGCGCATGCGCAGTTTCAACTTTCTTATTTAGAAAAGCATTGAAATGAAATTCTTCTCATAAACTGAAATTGAAGTAGCACGTCAAAAATGGATTGCCCATGTGCAACGCTATCTTTCATATTTGTAGCCGGATTTTTACGATTTTAACAGAAGTTGCATCTTACAAATGGGAAATGAATGCAAGTGGAAATGCGCTTTATGTAAATCGTTTACGGTTACTTTTTAACTTGTTTCTCATTTGATGAGTTTAACGACTTCTGTTGGAGTGGTTGGTAATTGTATCAGTCATTCTGTGTTATATATGTTTTTTTTATTATGTTTGTTGTATTATATGCTAGTGTGTTCTTTATCTAATGACGAGTGTAAATGTATCAACATGTCTGCACAACAATATATATTATTATTATATTATTATTATGGTCGGTGTATCTTGTGAGAACTCAGGTCTAGCCTGGTTAACTAATCGCACGGATTAAAATCAAGTAACGATTAGTGTCTGTGTCTGTGTCTGGTGAAGTTATGTAGGGTCCTAAAAAAAATAAAAGAAATAAATAAATAAAATAAAAATTATTATAAAAATATTATTATTATTATTATTATTATTATTACTACCTTTTTAGTAACTTTTCTGGTGAGTTTACTACTTTCTTAGTAACTTTTCTAGTGACGTTTTGCGTTAGGATCGGCATTTTTACCTTTTTAGTAACTTTTCTGGTGACTTTTTAAGTTTGGATCCAAGGTTGTTTTAAATAAAATAACCTTGGTTAGGATCGGCATGACTACTTTTTTAGTAACTTTTCTGGTGACTTTTTACGTTAGGATCGGCATTACTACTTTCTTAGTAACTTTTTTGGTGACTTTTTACGTTAGGTGCAATCTTAAAGTTAGTTCACCAGTTAGTAAAATCATGTAACCGTTTCTAATTTTTTTGTCTTATTATATCACGGGTAATCGTCATTTTTAATTTCTCACCACCAATCAAGTGTTAAACCATTATAACAATAGATGCTACCCGCTGGAAAGGTCTTTGAAACCATTAGCTAACTAACAATAAATATGAATTTCCATTGCAATACTCTTGGTGTGAATAATCTCTTGCATAAATCTCTAATCACGCGATAATTTATTTCCGCGTCATTCAATTCTAAAAAGTGTAGTTAATGTGGTAGCGAATTATAATAATTATACTTGTCGCCGGTCAGAAGAAAAGATGACTATGTCTATGTAGTGTTTAGTAGATCATACATTTATATTTCATGTTCTGGCAGAAGGACCCCTTCGGTGTATTTGTCTAGAACGTCTACGGTAGAAATTGATCGGAAATTCAGTGGTGCTCCATATGGAAAGCGACATTTCACTGGCACAAAAAGTGTCTCCGAAAAACAACGCTGTGAAATATTTAAAAGATTGCACGCGACTTTTATAAAGAAAGAAAACTTTAAACGCCTCCGAACTTTGATTTAGTATCGAATA